AGTTCAGAAGGTAATTTACTTTGCGATGCAGCACGATTAGGAGTCTGTGCTCCTAATATCTCATTCCCTGAATCTCCTGTTTCAAATCTCTTATTTCTTGTTCAATGATCTTTAGTCTCTGCAATACCATTTCCATTCCCTTGGCTATTCCACCAAAAGAAGGATCAACTTTGTCACTCTCAACACATTGGATAAAGGGTTCTCTTCTTCATCTGGATTGTTTTCTGGTGGAACTTGCAGTTCCACGGCAAGGTTGTACGGGTCATGATATCTTCGGTGCAATACTTCCCGGAAATCATCGTCCGATAAGAGGTCTCTAGCTAAATCAAACCCATCTCTAAGAACTACTTTGCCCGAATCAGACACTGAATCCCAAGTGTGCTTATAGTCATACATGCTTTCAGCTGGGACAGAGTAGTGCTTGTTTAAGTTGTTGAAGAGGTACAAATTGGGATTTCCTGTACCTAGGAGGAACCATGTTTTGCACACATTCCGGCCTCAAAATGTTTTTGGTCAAAGTTACACCATGGCAGAGGCTTTGAATTGTAGGAACTATGAGCTGGTTGATAAGTCTGAGTGTTTCGGTGAGGCTCTTGGTGGAGCAGGCCAGGATGTCAATGTAGTAACCCAACTGTCCTCCGAGCTCTACTTGGATATGGATGCCGTTGATTTTTATAGCAATGGGGTATTTCTCAAGGCTATAAGTAGCTCCATGCTGGTTCTTCAATGCCATGATTCGATTATGAAGGTGCACCTGTATTCGCATATACCGAACCGAGGGAGAAATTAAGAATAGGCATGATCATTCAAAAAACTTCCCTTGCTAAAATGTGTTACACATATAACAAAATGTTCCTCATGGTGAACTAATTTGAGAAAGGTAAGAAAAACTCTTGCCTGTAAGCGGGGAAAGAAGCCCGGCGTAAGGAACATATGGCTTGAATCATCACACTGAAGATGTCTCCCTGCATAAAAGCAATCAGCACCACCTAATTGCCACTTCTGCGGTTTACCTCTGCCTTTTTCGAGAATCGACGGAATCAATAGCAGAGAATCAGAATCAGAGGGGTCTTGTTCAAAGCATAGTTCAAGCTTCATCATCATTTTGATAAGGTCATTGGCCTTAAGTTCTCAAACACCTTTGAACCCATTCCAGGAATCTGACTATGCAAACTTCCTCTTAAGAATCTTCTCCAATTCTTTCCGGCTGATGAATCCGTTCTCGGCCGAGCTTTGTCTTCTAACCTCTAATTTTATCAGTTGACTCAGCACTTCACCACAAAACCATTCACAATCCAATATTAGGAAGCCTAATTCATGAAAATATATCACCTCGCCCATATGATGGAGGCCAGTAGCAACAACCCTCCTTCGCATTTCAATTTTCTCCTTATTATCATGTCGAGATTGAATCCTCAGTGGTGGAACTTTAACTTGGCATAGCTCAGAAAACTCTTTCCACTTCATAGCTGGCTTGTTACAGTTCTCTGATCTCCAGTCTGATAAAATTTGTATAAGATCATTGCAAAGCTGGTAAACTCGAGGAACTCTCTGGAGAACAGTTTTGCTTGTTTTTCGAATGTGATGAGTGAGTTTACTGACCGATGCTGATGATCTTGCATCGTCAGTAAAAACTGTTGGATAGAAATCGACATAGCCATTGAACTTGTCTCTCAATTTTTGTATCAAAGTCACTGTGTCCTGCAAGTTCTGAGATGTTTGATTGACCCTGTCATAGTGAGCGAGGACTACTGCAACATTCGGTAGCATGCACTGCTGGACTGCCCTTTTCGAATTGGAAACGATGAACCTGAGCCAATATTGAAGGTCCTCTTCAATTTCCATCGGAGTCTTCGGTTCTCGGTTGCTTGGTTTCCTGAATAAACTGGATATGATGAGGAAAAACGACGCACTCCCATGCCCACGAAACATGAAACTCATGCTGACCAGCAAGATTCCATATCGATATCTTTGTGTCCTCATCTTTGAAAGTCTTTATCTTCATACCAACTGTTCTAACAGCTTGTTCAACTGGATTTACCAAGGTTTTCACTTGCTCAATGTAGGGAAGCTTGGAAGAAGAGAAATTCTGCGATTTCGAATTGCAAAGTGTGGCCTTACCTGCAAAGAACAATTAAAGGAAATGATAGTCTTCGATCTTGGGATTAATAAGTTCTTAAAGAAGAAATGTTGAGTAATGTTAAAACTTACCAGCATACTCTTGGCCACAAAAGAATAATCTGCAGCTCTTGGGCTCGGTAAGTGGCATATCCTTGAGCAGATCATTTTCGGGTTCGGGTTCAGTCTTCCCATTCTGCCCCAATCTTTGATAAATTGCATCTGCTTTCCCTGTATCATGCAGAGACGTTCTAGCGAAATCGATATCTTCGATCCAAGGATTTATTTGTAGAGTCTCCATTATTGCCTGCAAGTGCAACACCCTGTCCCCTCTAACACCTTTGCAGCCTCGCAAAGACGAGCACCTCAAACTGGCATTCTTCTCTAAGCTCTTGAAGATTCGGAAAAAATCATCAGGTATCGTGCTTTGATCGTCGATGATCGCTAGCCGAGTCAAAGTTTGTTGGCGGTTAACATCGGCAGAATGGCTGCAAAACCAGATCTTCCTATCTTTGTTCTACTGCCTCCAAATGTCACCGACCTTAGTGTAATGTTGGCTTGGCATTGCAAAGCAGAGAACCTACTCAGCGGGAACAATAGATGTTCGACAGTCGACACCTATACCACTGAACTGGTTTCCATCGAGATGCAAGCGTTCCAAATGCCTGTTCTTGAAGCCCAGCTGCTACACACACAATTCCCTTGTCTTTAAGGCCAGTTTTCGACAAGGTTACCTCTTTCAGGGTTTGGTTCTGCTCCAAAACCCATCGAAATTCCTTCGCCCACCGCGATTTTAAGCGCACTCCAGTCATGTCAAGCGATGTAACCGTTGAATTCATACCGAGAGCAAAGCAACCCTGCAGGCACCCGAAACAACGATCTTGTAAATCCTAAAAGTGCTGTTTTGAGGTACAAACTCAACCACCTTGGAACTTTTGTCTCCACTTTCTCCAGTCCATACATGGACTTCCATGGCTCTATTCCTTGCTAAAACAGCGGACATAAGGGATGTTGCTGTGATCTAACTCGAGTCTAAAATAGTCAAAAGCTTCAGCATCGAGTTCGCTTCAATCATCTTCGAAAGCTCCTCAGCACCTTTTGATCCAATCGAGTCTTCCCATATCTGTAACTCTTCCAAGCTATCATTCACCTTAAGAGCAAAAGCAAGTAATGTAGCACCAACAGTCCCAATATGTGATTCAGAAAACATAACCTCTTTGATAGCTGCATTTCTCTTCAAAACATCGGAAAACTCCGATAAACAATCTTCATCGAATCTGTTCCTCCAGAACACGAGTTGCTTGATGTTCAAGTTACTATCCAACAACTCCCCAAGGTTTTGCACTTGTTGCAATTCCCATTCGACATAGTGAAACACCAAGTTCCCGAGGGAAGACAAGGTGCTTTTGGCTGGTCCTAGCATTATAAGAATGAGGGAGAAGTATTCAAGGCAATCTCCAGAAATGTTTATGTTCATGGAGTTTTCGGTTTCTTGATAACAACCCGAAACGGGTTGATAAAGGTAGAAGGTTAAGGCTTTCGGTTTCGAATGATCGAAGAACCCATTGAAGATATCTGAACTTCTATTTTGATGCCATTGCCAATGTAGAACTTTCACCAACAACAAAGATAGCAGAACTTGTTTATCTGCAGGAAAAAGAAAACTTGCATTAATATTGAAGCTGGTTTGATATGGTAATATGTTACAGTACATTTTGAATTTGATGCAATTATTTTGCCATATTCTCTCCTTCATACCAAAGTTATTCCTTACAGCAATGCAGTTTCAAGGTAAAGATAATGAGATTAATAAAAGAAAGTATCTTCGCACCTTTTTTCTAAAAATTCTAATCCGTCTCTCCACTTCATTCTGGTTCGTTTATCAAGTAATTTGCTTTGGTTAAAGAAGACTAAAAGGTAGTGCTTCTTACAGGTGTAAATGGAGGCCTACACCTTTTTGACTTTTGTTTTATAAAAAATGAGCTTTCTTTTAGCTTTATTATTCTCTCTTGTTTTCCCATTGAAGAGGATGAAGAATCCTATAAAGCAATGAAGAAAAGAACAGTCCAGTTGACAAATGAACCTCTTTTTAAGGAAAGTAATTATCCCAACAGGGAGGACAAAAGACAACCTTATTTAATGTTTGATGTCTGTTTTCTTTTTCAGAAAGAGACATGTCTGGACATTCTCTAGAGATTTTTAAATGATGAGTCTAAAACTGTTGAGATTAAGTATAGTTTTATCCATCCTCCAATCATACCCCAGTTTGTCCTGTGCATCATGGTCCTTATTCCTGGGTTTAAAATTCTTATCTTGAAAAGTACATAGGTAAATACCTCGAGAGATGTGCAAATTGGCCAACATGAACACGTGAATTTTTCGGTGCAATCAGGGCCGTTGGAATTTTCTGCTACATTTGGACCCCGGAAGATGTCATTTTCATATTTGGAAAATAATTTGCTCCTTTTCATCATCAAAACAGTTCTTTTCTCTGTCAAGTATCACTTTGGGCTTTATTCCACAGACGATTTTGCAAAGCTGATATTATCTTTTTCTGGTAAACTTTAAGTGGAAAATTGGAACCCACAGACAATGATTTAGGTAGTGGCAGCCTCCTAAAATACACATAAAAAAAGCTTAACAACAAGCCCTGAGAGGACCACAATATCAGCATTATCAGGCATTGTAAGCAGTCCAAAACTCGAAAATATAGGTACATTTACAGTCATTGTAATCAAGCTTGCATGCTGAAGATCGAGGAGGAAACGATGAATGTCGAACACGACCGACGGGGAGAATAGCAGCAAAACCAACGTGTTATGTAACTATTCTGTGAGTAAAGCTGTGTTCATGTATTGAAACATAATGTTTCACACTAGTAAACTGAACAAAAACTCCTTACAATCTGAGAGAAAAACAATCCCAGATAATATGACAAAGAACCAGCAACTCTTCCAGGGCATTACAAATTTAACAAGAAAATGGAAAAAATTAATACCCTATGGTTTGATGTACCACTGAAGATGACCGGTACATTAGTTGGAACTCGATCTCCCGCAATCTGATTGTACATCTCACTTGAATGCCAAGAAAACGAGCCTAAATTTTCACTATTACAATAGAAGAGAATAAAAACGAATCAAATCTCTAACCTTAAGGAAAATCCTTTGTAAACTGCTCACTCTGAATGTTTATATTTCAAATCAATAACCCTCATTACTGTCATGAGATCAATTTCCTTGCAAGCTGCTGACATTTTAAAATGGCAGTTGTATCGAATTCACAAATCCTTAGCCTGTTTTTAGCAAATTTATTCACCCTTCATCATAACTTCTTATACCCGAAAAACAGATTATCTAGGCAGCAATTACTGGAGAAGAAACAAAGAGACAAATTCACCTCTTGAGCCTCGACATAAATAAAATGATCGGTATTATGACGTTAACATCATATTCAGATAATTGAATTTCAGGACTGTTTAAAGAGAATATTACCTCTACTTGCAACACTGTAACTTCCAACATAATCCTCAGAGGATCTTGCGGTAACATTGGAAGATGTGTTGCCAATCCCGTAACTGAATGAGCTAGGACCATCCAAGTCCGGAGCAGTGGACTGCCAAGTTGAATCACCATAAACTGAACCGCTATGGTAAAGATCCCCATAGGATCCCTTAAAATTATCCATTGGTTCAGCAAGAGATGATGTCGGAGCTGCAACAATGCCACTGTTTCTTCCGCATCTTCCCCCTCCTATACCATAATTGTCATCAGTACTACCATAACCGGCAGTCCCACCTGTATAGCCAGAAGCATTGCCTCCACTTTGCACAGAAGAAGCAGCACTCCAATTACCCCCACTACTCCCTAAAGGACCAAAACTCTCCCTTCCAGTCCCCAAGAAGCCACCAGTGTCGGAAGCATTTGTGGCATTGCTAAGGCCTCCACTCCCCCAGATATCCCGAGTAGTGGAGCTCGAATTAGAATCGTTTCTTCCATTTCCAACACCATATCCAATAGGAATGTTATACCTGTTCGAAATCCCACCATAATAGGGGCTAATTATCCGCCCATATCCTAGACTGTTGCCAAAGTTGGAATTCCCACCATAGCCTGGGCTCATTCTTGGATCCATATCCATATCTAATCCGTATCCAGTGGTACTAAATGAAGGAAATCCGCTTCGACCAGTAGGAAGAGGATTAAATCTGCCATCTATCCTAATACCAAAGTCCGCAAGTGGGCTAAGATTATATCCCTGAGCATAACTATTGAGGAAGTTGGCAGCCCTACTCAAACCATAATTAAATCCAATCACGGGGTTGCGGGTGGGGCCAGGAGATAGTTCTTTAGGAACAGCCCTCTTGACCTCCACCAATTTCCCTTTAAGTTCATGAAATGTTTTATGCAGAACTGTATCCACGGCTTCCTCTGAATCATAAGTGATGAAACCAAATCCTCTTGACCTTTGCGTATTATGATCATACATCACCACGACGTCTGTAATTGTACCGAACTGATCAAAGTAGTTCTTAAAGTCACTCTCGGTGACCGATGAGGCTAAACCTCCGACAAAAATCTTCTTCGTGCGTCCAGGAACAGGAGAGCCATTGATGCCACTCATGTTCCGGTTTAAAATGTTCTGATCATCCCTAGGAACAGCCTTCTTTGCCTCAACCTGAAAATTGATCAAACAATTGCATCACATTCTCTATCCTAGTCTAACCATTGGTTACAAATTCAATCGAACAAATTATGTTTGGTACAGATATTCTAGTAGTATATTCAAAGAGGCAAAAACATGAGAATTCCCAATTGAATCTGTAATGTCAAAGGATAATCATAATCAACAAGGCGCTTACCATGCGACCATCTATCATATGCTTATCGGTAATTACTTTCTCTGCAACAGCAGGATCAGCAAAGACAATGAAACCGAAGCCACGAGCACGACCGGTAAATCGGTCTCTCGTGATAATAGCCTCCACCACTTCTCCATATTTCCCAAAATACTCCTTGAGACGTTCCTCATCGGTGTCCCAAGATATCCCACCAATGAAGAGTTTACCAAGATCTGATTCCATCTAATCTGCAATCACCATCATCAGCCACCAATTTCAATCCCATGAGGAAAAATCTGAACTTTTTTTCTTTCAAAACCAAGTATCACAATTGGATTCGGAGATCAAAATTTGAAATTCAATCAGAAATTTAACACCAATTCAATGTATGAAACTCTCTTCCACAAGTTAAAAAGCCAATACCAAATCATCCAATTATACTCAGCAGCTAAAAAGGATTCATCCTTCAGAAAAGGTGAAGCATAACAGATCAAAATGTGAACAATAACAATAATCAAACAGGGATAGTAAAAGGAAGAAAAAACATACCTTTTTGAATTACAGACAGAATCTGGTAAAAAAACAGAGTTGATAATTGTGGAATCCAATCTAGGATCATCTGGAAACTTCATGCACCAATCAGATAACAATCCAAGAATCCTGACATTAAAAAGAGCTGGAATTTGAGAGATGTGGATCAAGACAAAAGAAAAGTATAGATGAAGACCAGGAAGCAAAGAACAGAAAAAAGAGAAAAGCTACCATCTTGGAAACAACCCAGATGAGAAAATGGGAAGAAATTTAAAATCTGAGATGAGAAATGATTGCAATAGAAACAAAAGAGTAGGTTTTTCTGTTCATTTTTTTATTTTAAAAAAAAGCTTTTTTTTCTCCTCTCTTCTCCTCTCTACCTCACTCCCCTGTTTCTTTTCTATATCTTTCTTAGTTATTACACTCCTATAGATTAAATCAAAAGAAATGAATTTGAGGGAAGAAGTAGAGGGAAAGAGAGAATATATATATAGAGAGATATTGATAGCAAATCCTCTGATGTAGAATATTTGGAGTAGCTTAAAGAGATGACAGTGGAGGTTGATGTTTTATTATTACTATTTCTTTTTGTAATAGAATTTCAAATATAATATCACAACTTAAACAATATCCATATTAACATAACTATTCTTTGCTTGGATGTAATGCTAGAACCAAATCAAGCTTCAACCTTTGCATCCTTTAAATATTTTTTTTATAGAATTTATGTATTTACAGACATGTTTGACCAAAAGTTTGGCATGCTGTTGTTGTCCAAAGTTCATCATGCTAGAATGAACCTTATGGTTATATTGAGTCTGGTTGGCTTGAGTTGAGACCACACATACAACTAGTGGATTTTAATTTCTATTATTATTATTTTATCCTCTCTTTTTTGTTCCTAAAAGAACACGAAAAAGGATTAGAAAACATCATGACAATCATCATGTCTTGTTAAGTTGATTGTTTGAAATCTTCAAAAGTTGAAACATTTTCAAATAACATTGAGGATTGAGAAACTACAATAAATACCATGCTTTGGTCTGTTTAGGACATTTAAATTTTATATATTTTATAATTAAGTTTGTTTTATTTTTAATAATACAGGGATTAGGAGATAATATTATTCAAAATTTTCTTAACTTAATGATAATGTATATACATCATACAGACGCAATTGCTCGAATCAGGACCTACTCAAGATTTTTCTTAGTTATTGACAATGCACGCATACCCTATAGACACAATTGTTTGAACTTATGACTTTGAGAAAGAACAACACTCCTACTCCTTTTAATCATTGAAACCTGAGTTAATTTAAGTTATTTTTTTATATAAATATATGTATATGATATTTAATATCATTTTGGTAGGTTTGCAGTTAAGATTGGTGTAAAGGAGAAAGCAAGGGCCAAAGTGTATAATTTAAGATAAAAGAGGCATTGGTTTATATTTAAGATATTTTGGGACATAATTTAATGATTTGGCGTTTGGCCTGCAGCTTTTAAACAATGTATAAGTGAACAAGCAATGAAAGAAAACTATGCATGGTCCGAGATCCCATTGGATCTTATTGGATATTTAAATTGGTCTATTAGAATTAAAATATAGGTTAAATTCTATCACTGATCCATGTACTGTGTATAAGTTGTAGATTTAGATATGTACTTAAACTTGGTTAATTTATTCTTTGTATTGGATAATATTATTAAATTACATTGACTTAAAAGGAATTGACAAGCAAGAATTAAATCCATAGCTTTCATATAGTAGAACTAATAGAAATTTTGACCTAACACACACACGCACACGCACACGCACGCGCACGCGCACGCACACGCGCACGCACACGCGCACACGCACACACCTTGTTTCATATGTCATTTTGAGCTTATTTCAAGACCATAAGTAATGAAACTACCTTTGTTGTTTTATCAAGTGGGAGTAGAGAAATATCAAGTGGAAGAACTAGAAAGTGTAATCTTGTAAACAGATTTTTCAGCCTGAAAGAATTGTACATAGGAAAAATCTTTGCTAAGAAAAAAGCTACTTGTAAACATGTATTTGGCTACGTATACGGGTATATTCATTTTTTTTTGAAGTTTTTTTTAATACATAAACTTTCTTTGTTTGGATTAGGAAGAAAATGAATGATCTTGGAATGATTTATGTGTGTGTTAATGTAACGCCCCCATTCCAGGATTAATAGTTTCGGGTAAACCTAGGTGAGTTTTTGATAAATCAAGAGACCACTTAGACTTGTTTTAGTTTGGGCTAAAGCCCATTAAGAATTAAAAATGGTGTTTTTTGATTTAGGAATGGAAGAAGGACGAGTAGGAGAGTAATTACCCCTAAAGTTACCTAAAGGTTTATTCTCATTTATTGAAGGCTTATGTCATGTAAGGTGAAGTTGTCTCTTATCTTCTTCTTCTTCCCTTTCAAAAGTTTTTTTCCTTCTTCTTCTTGTATTTGAGCAAAGGTGAATGCTTGAACATTTTTCACTCTTATTCCGAGTTTTGAAGGTAAGAAATGAAACCCTCGCCTCTCTAGCTTCCTTTCAAGCTCATTCTTTCACGTTGTGACCTTGGAAACCTTTATGGGGGATTTTAGATGGGGTTTGGGTTTTAGGTCCCTTAGTGCTTCTAATCCATTTTCAGGGATTAAAAATAATGTTTCTAATCTTTTTAAGCCTCTAAGTGAGTTAGTATCTCATTCTTTTGCTTGTGATTAGTGAAAGATGTTGGAGAGAGATCCAAAGACAAGGGTAAGCAGAAGCTAGTCATTGAGTGATATTGGATAGTTCTCTTGCAACTTGGGTGAAAGGTAACACATTTATAACTCCTTTATACCATATGTAGGTCCTTACACATGTTCTTTGCATGTATTGGGTGCATTGAACATATATGTGTATATTCGCTTGATTATGATTTAGATGTTTTTATGGTGAACAAGCCATGTTAAATGACATATTATGATCCCTACAACTCTCATAAGCTTTACATAACGTTTAATAGCCTTAAAGGAACTTATGGCTAGGTTGGAGGTTGTATTTTCATATAAATCATAGTATTTATGGGTTCGAGTATCAATACTAAATGAACAATACCGATATTACTCTTCGAAATAACCTTAAACAAAAAGGTTTTTGGGCTAGAAGTATTGATACTATTTGTTGGGGTATCGATACTCACGAGTGGAGTATTGGTACCCTGTTTGGTTTACTAATTTCATTGGAGTACTGATACTAAGCTTGGAATATTGATACCCTAGGTAAGAGTATCAATACTGGACTAGATTTTAAAACATCAAAGCAAAATTTTGATATTGATACATAGGATGATATCAATACCCTTGGACAAAAGTATCGATACTATGGCTAAAGGTATTGATATTGCCTAGTTTCCTCAAATTCCGGTAACCATTTTTAATATCAGTACCACGAGATAGTACTAATACTAAAGGGTTCAGTATCGATACCCTCGTCATGGATTGGGTATGAAACTCATTTTGGATTCAAGCATCGGGAAGGGGGTTAAGGGTCACCATAACAGTTCTAATAAGACTACAAGTGAAAATAATTAATAAATATGGCTATAACTAGAACAATATGAACCAATATGACATCAAACTAGCCCTTGTGTGACAATCGGAGAAACGATCCGGACACACGAACTACTTTAGATATTTGACGATCGTCTTGTGTGGTGAGATATCCGGATATATCAAGTAAGTACTTATGCACTTAATCGCTAGTTGAAAGTAGGCTCTGATGCTACACGACCCCAAAGGTTTTCCAAGTACTCTTAAGAGGAGACTAGAATGACGTAGACTCCAATGCTACGTGACCTTGAAGGTGTCCTAAGTATTAGACAATGAGGGCCCTTCTAGATGAAGATTTCGATGTTGTGTGACACAGGTCTTATCTAGGGTACCTTAGGTAGGATAGAGGGATTTGAGTCTTGAGATGTTGTGTAACCCTCAGACTACACCATAATGCTTACCTTTTATCTTGTGTTGATGTGATTGTATGTTCATGCTTATACTTGTTTGTATGCCTATGTGATGAATGCATATAGTATGTTAAAGTTGTTTGTGTGGCAATGAACTCGTCAGTTCAACGTTCGAAATGTGTTTCTATCAGTAGGATCTTAGGAGAACAGGTCGAGGAACTATTGTCATATCAAGATTCCAATTTCTGATCAGTTGATCAGAGTACGTCTTGGATACATACTTAGTGAGCATATACTCTCAGTGACCTTATTCGTATTTAAGCCGTAAACTATGTTTATTAAACTTATGCATTTTGACTTCATCAATGAGAGCTCCTATTTTGTAAACAATATACTTAAATGTTAAACTTATGATTTGATTTTTGATTTTCTAATTTGATCGTTGTTAAATATTGTTTTTAAAATAAAAAAATTTGGTTAGCCACTTCGATAGACTCATGTAATGTTTTAACTATTCGATCTTCGGATTGGGACGGATTAGAGCGTTACCCTTAATGATATAGATATATTTCAATCACCAAGGGTTAGCAGGTAACTTCCAGACAGAAAAGAAAAAGAGACAAGCAAACGACAGACAAGTACATGTAAAGTTTAGATAATTTTATTTAGTTAAGCCTCCGTGGAAATTGGTTTTGACGCTCGATGTAGCCTGCAGGTAAACAAAAACAGAACCGGTTTCTCGTGTTTTTTTGCGAAGGAATAACGCTAAGCTGTTGTGTTTGAGGTGCTGTGTATGCACATTCTGTCATTCATGCTTGTGAAAATCTTACGTTCAAGCTAGTTTAGCTGGCTTCCATTGCTCTGGTACTTGTAGAACAGTAATTTTCGTCGGTAGTACAACAGTAACCGACAGGATGAATAAATATTTGTTTTCTTTTTCCTAGCAAGCAAACAACATATATATATATTTATATATAATAAAATTATCAAAGAAAATCACTCACAAACTTTGACATATCATCAAAACTGCAACTTTATCTTTGAAATGGAAAACCAGAGCGGGCCAGCCAGATCGGTGCCAGGCTATATCAATAATTTCCCGACAAATTTGAGTGTGACAGCAACTACATAAAAAAAGGCCTCTTTATCAACCAACTTAATACAATATAATATGTTGTGGCAGCTCAATATGTCATTGCCAAGAGCCACTTTAGGTTGGCTAATCTTCAAGAACATGCCCATTAATTCAATCCTTTGAATGTATCTTTCCTTTTAGTTATATATATTTGATTTGACTTTGCTTCAAATACAACCTAAACACCATTTAATCTTTATCTAAGTTTGACAAATAAAATATTGAGATTTCTTTCACAAGAAACCCAAAGTTCACACTCAATCTTCTCCCATTCAAACTTAATGTATGTTTGTGAACGCATATGTACAAATTAAACTAGTTTTAATCCAATTAACCTACTGGAAAAAGAATTATTTTAAGGGAAACCAACCATTGGGTTAATACGAAAACAAGAATCTATACCTAAGTACTATTGATCATTTTCGTCATCATCAACAACTTCGTCGAAAAACGGATCCTTGAGCAGCTCCGCCGCTGCCGGTCTTGCACCGGGCTGAGCAATGCATCTCTCAATGAATGCCTTCACATCGTCATCTTTAACCTTGCTCAAGGCTTGAGGCCTCACCCCATTGGATACTTTCTTGTAAATTTTGGCCACATTGTCACACTCACTATAGGGGATTTCCAAGGTCACCATCTCAAGCACACACATGCCGAATGAGTATATATCGATGAGTTCGGTGTAATGTTCGTCGTATAACTCCGGCGCCATGAATTCCGGTGTCCCGAGAATCGAATGCGCTGAATGATTCTTTCCCACTATTGCAGCCAACCCCAAATCACCAATCTTAACCTAATGAAGGTTTAATAACTAATGTTATTCATCAAAATCCAAAGGGACAAGGGGGAATTATGTTTCTAACTTTTTCTTTCCTTTTCCAAGACTTTTCCTAGTGATCAAACACGCAAAAGAAAGAAACAAAGCATACCTGGCCCGTATTTCCATTAACAAAAACATTGCTGCAATTAAGATCTCTGTGAATGATACAAGGCTCATGTGAATGCAAATAGTTCAAGCCTTTCAAAATATGCTTTGACCACTTCTTCAACGCCTTCATTGAAACTTGCCTATGTTTCTTCCTGTACTCCCTCAAATTCCCAGACGTACACACTTCGGTTATGAAATTGAGGGTGTTACGTTCCTCGTCGCGCCAAACGTTGTACAATGAGATTATGTTGTTGTTGGTCAATGATCTTAACAACCGGACCTCCGAATAAAGCCTTTCGATCATCGATGGATCGTCGGAGAAATTTCTTAGCTTGACTTGGTTCCATGCAACTTCAATGCCTTCTTCTTGATCAAATGCACGGTAAACTTTTTTAACTGCCCCGCAGCCTAGAAGCTCCGTGTAACGACCATAACGACCGGTCGGATCGACCTCCACAAAGGGCTCGGAGTCCTTGTCGGATTGGTCGGGATTGACGCTAGGCATCTGCTCAGGACAATAATCACGCAATAAACGTATAAGTGATCAAAGAACCTTATAGAAAACCGGTTAAAAGAAACTTTTGTTTCGCGAGGGATCAAAGTTCAAGAACTAAAACAATGACAAACAGTGAGGAAACTTGAACATAAAAAATAAAAAATCTAGAGTAAAAACCCCATAAAAATATGACAAACTTGCAGAAGATCTCAATATAAAGAGAAAAATCTTAAAAACAACTGATAACCCATCAAGCCTATGAAAGTTTTATCATCGAAAGCTAAATTCTTAAACAGAGAGAGAGAGAGAGAGAATAGTAAAGAAGAAGAAGAAGAAGAAGAAGAAGGGTTTTTGGAGAGCTCACCATAAAAAAATATATATGAGAAACAGAAACTTAATCTGCAACAAGAGCGTACAACGGAGAAGGAAGCAGTACGAAGGCGGCTTTTAAGGTCAGTACTTATAGGAATGATTCCTATTAGGTTAAAAGAATTACGTTAGTTAATTATGTTTAATTTAGATAAAATTCTTTTATCAGTCTGCACCATGTATAAATTATAAATTTAATTTTTTATTGTCTGTAAAATTTAAAACTCCAATCTTGACTCAAATAATCATTGCGGAATCTATTGGTTTAAACTCTGCTATTAATCTATATATTATATATTAATTTTAAATTTCATTTATGAAATCTAATTTGATCCGTTTAAACTTATATAATTTAGTCATATTATTATCATTATATTTTTATTAATATTAAAAGTATATAAAAATTAAAATATATTAATCAATATAGGGATTAATGATTATTTTTTTAATTAAAAAACTGGATTTTTTTAGCTGTTGTTTGGATCTTACCAGGTTGTAGCGCGTTACGGGGGATTATTGCCGTTTTTTGAGGCCGTGTTTCCTAATGTGTTGGGATATTAAAGAGCAATCAACTTTGAAACACTTTGTTGATCTTGGATTGTGAACGTCCCACGTGGCTTTCTTGATGACTTGGACGGTCTAGATTAAAACTATAGAGGTTTTGGATGTGCATTGACTATGAATTTTTCTTATGTTGGGTTTAGGGTTTAAAATGGAAAATCACATCTGGTCAACTTTTCTATTCTGAGTCATGTGATCAATGTCATTCTTGTGCAATTGAATTAAGCTTATAATATTTTAATTTTTTACACTTATATAATTTATATATTCTTATAATTTGCACCAACTCGGTGATAAAAGGAGTTATTGTTATTTCTTAAAGTTTCCGAGTTTAAGCACTAAAAATGTCAGGGATTAGGTCTGTAAATGAACCGAACAAACACGAACGGTCATGTTAATTCATTTAATTTTAATCGAATAACTAAAAGAACGGAATTTCTTGTTTATGTACCCTCATTAAGAAATTTAGCCTGTTCATGTTCGTTCATGTTCGTTCGTTTAAATGATAAACGAACACAAATGAACGATGAATATAAAATTAATTGGGTTTATATTTTAGAAGAGTTTTTTTCTTTTTCAAATAATTTTAGGATTTATATTTTCTTTAATCGATTTGAGTATTTTTATTTGAGTTTAAAATTAATTGAGTCTAAAAATATTAATGGGTTTAAGGTTAAAATTTATTAAGTCTTTATATTTCAAACGGGTCTACATAACATAAACGAACGAACATAAACAAACATATAAAAAATAAAATAATTAATTTAGTCTAAATATATCAATGGGTTTAAGATTAAAAATGATGGTTGTTATCTTTAAAGATTTTAAGTTCGAATGTGATATTTATCGAGAATCTCTAAAACAGATACTACAAAATATTAAATAAAATAGTTAATTAAGCTTTTAATATTAGAAGAATGTGAAATAAAATTTAATTAATTATTCTCTAAATTTAGAACCGAATTAAAATTATAAAACAACCCTTAAACCTTCTACAAATGTTTTAGATAAATACCGGAGCCTTGGACACGAGAAATTATTGTATGGTCTCGGCTTATCACGTCATTCCACCAATTAACTTTTTCAATTAATATTAGAGACGACAATTGTTTTCCCAAATAAATAAGAATTAAATTTTCTTTGTAATGATCTTTATTAAGCAAATATATTACATTTTCAAAATAAATATCGGGATACGATCTCGTACAAGATGAGATAACATAAACATCTATAATTATTCCACCGGTTAATGAGTCTCATTAGTCATTACATTGATATTGAATATATTATATTTGGTCAAGTTGCCTACCTTGCTACCCAAGAAATATTCCTTAATTTGGTCAAGTTGCCTACCTTGCTACCCAAGAAAAAAAACAGGTAGGTGGCGCATTAATTTTAAGAAAAGAAAATTGAGCAAATTAATTGAGAGAAATACACATTCGGCTTTATTTGTTTGGATCAATTAAGCGTAGTAGGGAGAGGAAAGCCTCAAAATTTTATTTTTTTAAAAATAATTTAAAATATGATAAGATAATATTTATTTATTTTTTTAATTATTGTTAATGTACGGGTTGAAACTCTCATGAATTAAAAAATTATTATAATATATGACGTTAATATATAAAAGAAACAAGGTAGGATACCTAGATAGCTAGTTTTAGAGGTTGGGATTTTCTTGTGACAACATGAAGGCACATGTGATTTTATGTCCAAGTTGTTCCGGCCCCATGTGAGTCCAGCCAATTCCAATAAGTAATCCGTATCATATGCAGCGAATTAGGTAACACAGTTCTGCAGACCGATAGTTCTGTTTCGTCAGCAAGCCGTATTGACTCGGTGGTGACTCGGTCAAAGTTGAAGGAGAATGCACATTTGGGTTTCTTTCATCCTGATTTAAATCCCAAAGATTGATGTAATAATATACTTTATGGGATGTCATTAATTTTCAATATACAAGGTCATTCTATCTTCACCTATAGCGGTTCTCTGACCTATTAGCATTATATTCTTAAAATGAGGCAACAAATACAAGTGTTGTTCTATTTTCCGTTTTGTTTATTATCGTACCTTAATTTTGTTCGAATTAAGTTGAAAATGATCGAAGACTAATGTAAAGATGTTCGTATATTAATGTTAAATTCATTTGAGTAGCGATCGTGGATTTGGAGATATTTTTCGGTGAAATCAAAGGCAGATCCATGCTCAGGAATGTGAGAGGACATCGTTGGTGTATTTTGGGTTTCAATGGTCATCAGAGACGGCAATCGGTGCGGTGATCGACGGTGACAATACAATGGTCGACGGTAGGATTTCACTGATTTCTGGAAAAATATATAGAGAGCTGAGAGAATTATGAAGATAGATAGAAATAAGAAATAACAAAAATATGAAAAAAAAAGATGAAGGGGTTTTATAGAACAATCAAAACGGTGACGTTTTAACCCCATCATATGCAATTTAGACTTTAAGGCTCTAATTACTTTCTAAGCTATTGTAAGTTTCATAATTTTCCATTTTGGTCACCATAATGTGTTCTTTTCATTTTTATTTCGAACTAAATGTCCTTATATTACTATTTTCCATTTTTATTTTTTAGCATTAACTTTTGGATTATTTTCTTTTAGGCCATCAAAACTTTGCCTCGTTTTTACAGTTTGGTCACTAGCTTCGTTCCTTGATTTCTTTCGATTGTAGACTTCTGGTTTTTATTATTTTTATTTTGGTCCTTTTTTTTGCAATTTTATTTTCTTGATTATTGATTATTAAATTTTAATTTCATCTTATTTTTATCATTTTTTTATTTAGTGTTCATTTTAATTTATTTTACTAAAAAAGTTAATTTTTGTTTTATTTAAATCTAACTTCTCAATTATTTTTTTCTTCAGATTATTCAAATCAAGATTTTCAACTTTGTATTTATTTGATTTAACCTTTCATAATTTTTATTTATTTCATTCTTTAGTTTTTTTCCTCTAATTTAATTATTCTTTTTTAATTATATATTTTAATTAAGATGTTTTAGCTAGCATTCTAATATTCTACTTTCCCCCTTTTCTGGTATGTTCTAATTGAAATAATATATCTTTTTAACACTCTTTTTCTCTTGTAGGTTCTAGAAGGGTTTTTAACGAGGTTATCTTTAAAAAAAATAATTAAGGTATATTTTTATGTTAATTTTAATTTAATTTACTTTGTACTTTATTTTACGTTTAATCTTTTCTCTAAATTAGTAAATTTTTAGGATAAATTCTTTAGGTTTTAATTCTCTTTAATTTAGTCCATAAGCAGTAGATTTAGACTTTACATTTAGCCCTTAGATTTAGATTCTCACATTTTGGTCATTTTAATTTAGGAAATAATTCGATTTGGCCCTCGCATTAAAATATATGAGGGTCCATTTCGATTATTCGATTCAATAATTGGTAAAAATTAAATAGAGTTAATAATTATAACCTTAACCTTAGACTCTTCACAATTTAGTCCTTGAACTTTTTAGTTAGATATTCATTTGTTATAATTAATTAGAGTCGACAGTTTATGTTTAATTTCACTTTAGTCCTTTAATTTAGGGAATAATTCAATTTGGCTATCGCATTAAAATGCTCGTGGTCCATTTCGATTATTCAATTTGATTATTGGTTAAAATAAATTAGAATTAATATTATAGCCTCCATTTTAGGTTTAATCCTCTAGGTTCTTTAAATTACATAATTGACACTTTAAGTTAGGGTTTGCCTTAATTAACCCACTAGTATAATTAGGTTCATAAATTGTTATTTGATTGCATTTCGCTTTTTAAAATAATAAGGTAGTGCTTATTTATAAAGGAATTAACAGTGTATCATCCGCGTTATACTCAGGGGGTGACAACTGGTAATTCTTAAAGTAAATCAACATCATTTTCAAAACCCATTTCTCAAACTTTAAGGCAATGTTCGTTTACTTTGATCAATGATGAAGCTTTCACATTAAATGCTCGAGGGTGATCGTTATTGGTCTTAGTAAACCGACATCATTTTTCAAACTTGGCATCCATAATAATCTTTAAATTAAATAAAACCTTGAACTCAAATTTTTTAATTTTTAAATATAGGGTAATCGACTAGGTACTAATTTCTAGGCGCCGTCACAACCTGTTTTCTGGTTTTCGCATACCAAAATTTGATATTTTTGATAAAATAAAATGTATTATTAAAATTACCCGATTTTAGGCGTTCCAATCGCACCTTAAAAATAATTGGTGGCGACTCCCAACAGTTCATCAAAAATTATTTCAAAAGAAAAACCCTATCATTACAACCAATCGACTTTTTCCCGAAGGGTAGGTTACGACGTCCATGAAGTTGGACCTTGATATTTTGTACATCAATAGATCTAGTATTTAATGAGATGCCTTGAGGGGTTGAAGTTAGTAGGGACCATATAGTTCAAAGTGATTAATGTCGATACCAACCGGAATCTGAATGAACAATAAGGGTTCGGTTATTAAAACTGT